ATGAGTGTTTCTGGTTTCTTTCCTGTGCACAGACCCCCAGATGCCCTGAGAGGCAGATGGCCAGAGACGTCCTTCCTACGTCCTGCTTTTGGAAGACATTGAATCCACAGGCCAGAATACACACCCAGGAGTAGAGAAAAAGAAAGCCTGCGTTTGTGCACAATCCTGAAAAATGCCTGAGTCTGAGCTTCTGTTTCAGTTCCTATCAGTAAAGAGTTCCAACAAAAATACCAACACCCACTCCGCTCTGAGGCTGTTCTAGGCATATGAGCAATTAAATGCCCAAATCTTTGTGAATTCTATGAACTCTCAGGGTTTGGGGCTGTTACAGTTTGAATGCCAAAGTTTCTCAAAGGCTCAGATGCCAAATGTTACTCAGTAAAGCTTTGGGGAGATCATAGAAACTTAGGACCCAGTTAAAGAGAGTGGGTTATTTGGGGCTGTATCTTGTCCCCCACCCCTTACTCTCTTTCTTCCTCCTGTCCACCATGAGGTGAGCTGCTTTGCTCCACCATATGCTACCCACCATGAAGTGCTGCCTCATCAAGGTATGGAAGCAATGGAGCCAGGTGAACATGGACTGAAAACTCTGAAACCATGAGTCAAAATAAACCTTTCCTCTTTTAAGCTATTTTTCTCAGATATTTTGTCACAGCAATGAAAAGTTAAAAAAAAAAGGGGCATTCAGTTGAATTTAGTTAACACCCATTTGTAGTAATACTTAGAAATTCTTTTAAAACTCCAACCCAAGATGAATATGGTGGTGAATGCCTGTAATCCCAGCAATTTGGGAGGCTGAGACAGGTGGATTGCAAATTCATGATCAGCCTCAGCCACTTCAATGCTCAGCAACTTAGCAAGACCCTGTTTCAAAGTAAGTGAATTAATAAAAACAAAGGACTGGGAATATAGCTCAGTGGTAAAGCACCCCTGTCTGTGTTCAATCCCCTGTACAAAATAAAGCAAAACAAACATACAAAAAACCTGCAATTCTTATGTGAATGGGCATTGAACAGTTTAAGCACACCTGCCTAGCAGTTATCAGTCAGTGCACAGAACATTCTCCTCTCCTGTGTCTCAGCCCCTGAGAGGCATCACCTCAGAATATGCCTTGATAAAAACAAAAAGGACGTTTGGACACCGTATTTGCATTTGTAATACTGGCTCTGAAGGGAGAAAATGGCTTGCTCCTATAGTCACAGAAGTGGTCAGCAGATGAAAGGATACTGTCCTGAACAAGGAATCCACAAATACAGTACAAGGAAGTCAAAGAGTCACAGAGGGGTCCCTAAAGCCACAGGAAGTGGGCAGGATGCCAGGGGATCATGGCCCCATACCACAGCTACTTGCTCACATCTGTTTTACTGAGCCAGCTAAAGAATAAATGTACCCATAAGGGGACCTTGGAGAACTCTGATAGCCCATTTTTCAAGATTTCTTGGGAATATTACAGTAAAAAATTAGGAAAAAGAGACATGAGACATGAGGTTCACTCCTCGCTGGCACTGAGACTTCTGTGAGGAGTCTGCTTTGGGCTCAGGCTCACGGGGCTACCAGGGCCCAAGAGGCCTAGGAACATCTGGTCAAAGACATCAGTGCTCAGAAACAGGAAGAACGTGGTTGTCTTAAACGCCGCAACTGCCTCATGGTGAAAAAAATTAATTAAATATAAAATTAAAGTTAAATTTTTAAAAGTTAATTAACTTTTCATTTTATCCAATTCTGACTTATTCCTTTTCTACACTTAATTATGTGCTATGTCACTTAAAATTTAAATATTCAATGTAAAAATAAATACTTTCCACCCAACTACCTCTCCAAAAGCCCCATTATATCTCTGAATATGCCCTAGAAACTTGGTATTTTCGAATTGGCACTGCATTGATATATATCAGTTGAGAGGGTATTAGTAGAAAAGGTGAATTAAGGACTTCTGAAAATCCTCTCCTCTATGAACAATAAGAACACTGGCAAGTTATCAGAACCAACTCTCTCCAAACGTTAGAAATTAACAAAAGGCTTTCAGCAATCCAGGGAACATTTATTCAAGGGAAAAAAAGGCTCAGAACAAGCAAAGAAACTAAATTACTAATCAAAAAACATAAAAAGATAGGCATGAACCCAGCATGGTGGCACACACTTGTAATACTGGCAGCTCAGGAGGCTGAGGTAGAAGTTCAAAGCCATCCTCAGCCACTTAGCTAGGCCCTAAGCAACTTAGACCCTGTTTCTAAATAAAATATTTTAAAAAACTGGGGATGTGGTTCAGTGGTTAAAAGCCCCTGGGTTCAATCAATGGTACCAAAAGAAAAAAGGAAGAAAGATAGATATGAACACTTCCCAACTCATTCTTTGAGGCTAGTATTACCCAGATACCACAGCCAGACAAAGATATCACAAGAACTACTGACCAAAATCCTTCATGAATACAGATGCAAAAATCCTCAACAAAATTGTAGCAAACCAAATCTGGCAACACACAATAGGTTTTGTATACTACAGACAAGTGGAATTTATCCCAGAAATACAAGAGTGATTCAACATCTGAAACTCAGCATGGAATGTACCATATTAGTAGAATAAAGAACGAAAACATATAATCATCTCAACAGATGTAGAAAAAGTATTTGACAAAATGCAGTCTTTTTCCTGATAAAAACACTCAACAATCTAGGAAAACATGGACCTTGCCCAACCCAATAAATGTTATGTATGAAAAACCCACAGCCAACATCATATTAATGGCAAAAGAGGACTGAAAGCTTTCTCTCAAAATCAGGGACAAAGATACCCACTTTTGCCACTTTTATTCAACATGGCATTAGAAGCTCTAGCCAGAGCAACTAGGCAAGAAAAAGAAATTAAAGGCATCCAGACTGAAAAGAAAGAAGTAAAACTATCTCTGCTTGTATGAAACCATCTTTTCTATAGAAAATAAAAGGAAACCACAAAAAATATATATATATATTTGGGCTCATAAAAAAGCTTAGTAAGATTTCACAGTACAAGATCAGTACACAAAAGTCAATTGCATTTCTATGTGCTATCAATAAACAATCCAAAAATAAAATTAAAAACTTAATTCCATTTACAATAGCAACAAAGATATTTAACAAGGGATCAACTTATCAAAACAAGGACAAAGTACTCTGAAAACCACAATATATTATGAAAGAGGTTAAATAAGACTTAAATACATAGAAAGGCATTCTATATACATGGAGTAGAATACCAAATATCATTAAGATGACAACACTTCCAAATTGAGCACAAATTTAATGCAATCATTATTGAAATCCCAGATGGCATTACTGCCAAAATTGATGTCGGTCCTAAAATACATATGAACAGGGACAAAAAATAATTCTGAAAAAGAGCAACAATGTAGGTTTCATACATTGCAATTTAAAAACTTGCTACAAAGCTACAGGAATCATGACTGTGTGGTGCTGACCTAAAAACAAGTATGTAGATCAATAGAATGGAATTGAGAGTCCAGGAATAGATACTTATATTTTTGGTCAATTGATTTTTGTAAGTGTGCCAAGACCCTTGAAAGAATAATCTTTTCAATAAATGGTGCTTGGACAACTAGGTCAAGTAGGAACCTATTTCACACAAAAATGAACTCAAAACGGATCAAAGGCCTAAATGTAAGAGCTAAATCCATAAATCTTAGAAGAGAGATAGGCATAAGTCATTTTGACTCTGGATTAGGCAACTAGTTTCTTAGATGTGACACAAATCACAAGAACAAAAGAAAAAATAGATAAATTGGACCTCATCAAAATTGAAATTTTTTATATTTCAAAAGATGATCCATCTGGGCATGACAGCATGTGCCTGAAATCCCAGCTACTGGGGAGACTAAGGCAGGAGGTTCTTGAGTTCAAGGCCAGTCTGGACAACATAGCAAGACCCTGTCTCGTTTAAAAAAAAAAAAAAAAAAATCTTCAAACCTGGCTCCACCTTCTCTTTCTCACTTGACTTCTCACTCCTGAAACTCTCCAAGCTTCAGTCACCCCACACTTCTGCCACATTCCTTTTGTCCCCATGCCTTTGCACATGTTGGGCCTCCATCTAAAGGGCTCTCTTTGCCTCAGTAATTCCTAGGCAACTAACAAGCCTCATGTCATGCCTCACCCTCTGGAACCCCACCAGGGCAGCCACTGAGTGCTCCAGTGGTATGTAGTACATCCTCCCTCAAAGCTCCCTATCTTGGCTCTGATTGGTGAGTCCCTCCTTTATAAGGACCATGATTCCTTGTCTCTGGATCCCCAGGTGTTTTATTCAGCTTTTTCACTTCTGCGACTTGAAAGACCCGACCAGAACAACTACAGAGGAAGAAAAGTTTATTTGGGAGCCCTCAGTTTCGGGGGTGTCAGTCCATAAGTGGCTGGCTCCATTCCTCCAGGTTCAAGATGAACAGGCATCCTGGAGGAAGAGTGTGGCAGAGGGAACCAGCTCACATGATGATTAATAACCACAGAGAGAGAGACTCCACTCTCCAGATACAAAATATATACCCAATAGCCATGCCCCCAATGAACCACTTCCTCCAGCCACAACCCACCTGCCTTCAGTTACCACTCAGTTAATCCTACTAGGAATTAATTCACTGATTAGCTTAAGGTTATAACCCTATCATTTCTCCTCCAAACCTTCTTGCATTGTCTCACATGTGAGCTTTTGGGGAACGCCACAAACTAAACCATAATACCAGGCATAGATCTGGGAAATTACTGGCAACTCAGTAAAAGTAGCATTTAATTTTTTTAACGTAAGAAATCTCCAGAATGGACATATTAGCTCCTGAAGCATGACACTCACTGTTCTGCTCTGGGTCATACCTAGCAAGATCATGCACATGGTCAGCCCTGGGAAAGATTTGTGAAATGTGAATGAACTAAAATGATGGCTAAGCCAATGAACAGTGGAGGAGTGGAGCGAGGGTGGGGAAGGCAGGGGTCTCCTGGCCCCAGGAACCAAGCTCAACTCACACTGTTCTTCCCACTCTTGCTCCTCTTTCTCGCTGGCTTGGCAACGCAGCTGGGCTTGCTTCAGCGACCAGTAAAGCTCCTTCGCTCTCTGTTCCTCCTGAAGGCGAATCTGCTCTTCTCCTCGCTTCCTCTCTTCTTCCTCTTTCCTCTAAAACATCATGGAGACAGATAACATTAGAATGAAGAAGTATCTCTTTGAATCTGCAGTAGGTCAGGGCTGAGCTATCTCAGGATGGGATAGGACAGTAGTGGCCACTCCAGTCTCATTCCCTACACAGTTGAAATAGTGAAGTTTACACTTGGTAAGAATCAAATGGGTTAAAATATGTGGAGCCATAGGAAAATTCTGAAGTTTTCTACAAAGATCAGAGGACTCTGGGCCAAAAGCTTTTCTGCAAAGATCAGAGGTCTTGGATCATCCTTGGATTACTTTCATTTGGGGCAGAAAGAAGGAAGGGACAGGAGGGCCACCTGGTCTTCCTGGAGGCCCATTAAGCAGGATATTAACATGCTTTAAGCTTAAATCTGGAAAAGGTATTTCCAAAAGTGAATAGGTTTAGGAGCCCTGAATCTCCCACTTCTAATTCACCTTCAAGTTCCAGAAAGGTCTGTGTGTGTCTATGTGTATCTGTGTGTGTGTGTATGTGTTTGTGTGTGTCTGTGCGCACACATGTGTGCATGTGCATACATCCACGTGAATGTTTCTTTTATTTGTATGAAAATAGCATGTATATGTTAAACATGCATCATGAGCTTAGAAAGGCTTATAATGCAAAGTAGCAGACTGGGGTGTGCAGCTCAATAGTAGAGCACTTGCCTAGGCATGTGACAGGCTCTAGGTTCAGTGTTCAACACTGCAAAAAAAAAAAAAAGTTGCAATTGTATTTGTTTTGCTGGGAATGGTGGCACATGCCTGTAATATCAGCTTCTCAGGAGGCTGAAGCAGGAGAATCACAAGTTCAAAGCCAGTCTCAGCAACTTAATAAGACCCTATTTCAAAAAAAAAAAAAAAAAAAGGTGCTAGGGATGTAGCTCAGTGGTAGACGCTTGGATAGCATGAGGCCCTGGGTTCACTCCCTAGCATCACAAAAACAAAAATAGAAAACTGAATTCTCATTGCAATTTGTAGTTAAATCAATAACAATATCAAATAGTTCATCGCAAAGCCAAAGAGGGTGCTATTTTCACCAATTCTAAAAAGTACTTTTTTTTTAACTTTTTAGTAATCACTAAAATTTACATGTCTTACAACTTGTCTTTTTAATAGGCAACAGTTTTTTTCTTCTTAAAATAATGACATGTTTTTATAATTAATAGCATCTTAAATTCAGTCAAATATGGAAATATGATGGCTTTTTCTCTTTTGTTTTTTTTTCCTGAGTTGTTAATTGTTTTTTCTTGAAATTGAATACTGAAATTCTAAATATTTCTCTATATTTAACCAGGTGTTCTTTCTTATAATAGATAATACAGCCCTGCGTGCCATTTTTCCTTCTTGTCCAATCCCAGTACCTAAGGTGCTTAGATCTCCTCTCCATCTATCTTCCCAGGACCCCCCTCTCAGCCTTCCCTGAAATGGAGCCCTGTGTCTTTGTTGGCCATTCCCTGGCTTTGGGATAACATGTCTCATACTGCTTCTCAGGTAAGCATGCACAGAAACATTTTCTGAGTCCTTACTGGTCTGAAAATATCGCCATGTGAACCTCACCTGTAACTGCTAACTTGGCTGAGCATAAGAATTTGATTAAAAATTCTTTTCCTGCAGAATTTTAAAGACTTTATTTCCCTGTCTCCCAGCATTCGGTGCTGCCACTTTGATTGTCATTTTTCCACATAGGGTATCAATTTTTCTTTCTGGAAGCCTTCAGGGTCTCTTTATCGCTGATGTTCTGGGTGTTTTTAAATGTTGTGTCTTCGTGTGGATGTCCTCCCATCCGTGATGTGGAACACTTGGAGTGCTTTCAGTGTGGAGTCTCTTGTCTGTCCAGTGCAATACATCTTTGCTTAGGATTTCTTCATTTCTTCTCCTCTCATTCCTCTTTTGCTTTTTATAGGACTCCTATTTGTCACTGCTGGTCTCCTTGAGTTGGTTGATCTTCTAAGTGCTTTATCATTTCTTGTTTTCCACATCTTGTTCTTTTTGCTCTTCTCCCTGGCTGATGTCACTGACTTTATCTTCCAAACCTTCTAGTGAGTTTATTTCAGCTATGGCATTTGCAATTTCCAAGCCCTCTGTTCTATCCTTTTCTTGCCCCTTTCTCCTCTTTGCATCTGTATTTGTTTCAGAAATACAGTAGCTCATCTTTCTGAGGCTTTTTTTTTTTTTTGCCCTCTCTGTGATTTAGGTTTATTTCCTCTGTGTTTTTGTTTTTTATTTGTTTGACTTGGTGCCTGCCACCATTTCCCTGGGAGACTTTCCTCCTATGTCTGATACTCACTGGTCGTCCATTCATATTCAAGAGAAAGGTAAAACCTGAATGGGAGGCTCACTGTGTAGCCAGGCTTCCCTGAGAGGTGGACCTCACTCTAGAGCAAAGGGATAAGGAACTAGCCATTCACTGAGCCATCCGCAAATGTAAGAATCTAGAATCTTGTCTGTGAGAATATTCAGGGTCTTCTCCTCTCTTTCCTGGGTGATGTCTGATGACCAATATTCCAGGAGTCAGTGGGGAGCAGCCTACAGATAGGACTAACCTTTCACCCAAGCCAGGAGGGCTCTAACCTGGGCCCCATGCTTCATGGAAGCCTATGCTTTGAAGTGCCTTTTTTGTAAATGTCCTCACCAAGCCCTCCCTGCAAGGTATATCCAGAAATAGTCCCCCTAGAATTGAGAAAATCAGCAGAGTTTTTCAGGAAAGCTGCTCTGTGCCCAGATGAGGTCCTGTCTGAATCCTGGTTCCTGTTTCTTCCCTTCATGGAGCACTCTAACCCTCTCCCCGGCCACCTGGCAACAGGTTGACCAGATGCCCCAGGGAACTCCAGAATTCACACTCAGTGAAGTCAGCCTGGATCCTGCTTTGAAAAGGTGGCCTAACAAGTGATAGATTGTGTCAAAAAAATATAGAATTTTTAACACAAGTTCACATAAGTTTCAGTTGCCAGAGTAGAGCTAACGGGCTGATTTTATGTGACCCTAATTAGTAACATGAAGAAAGACCTTGCAAAAAATTATTTGCTAGCCCTGCATACCCTAAAGGTAACCTTGGCTATTGGCCCCCTCCTCTGAGTTCAGATTTTTATTGAATCTCCATCTTTCCTATTTGGCTCTCTCCTGCTCTGCCCATGTGCCCCATTAGTCCAAGCCCCAAACCTCCCCTTTCAACTCCCCATCTCCTTCTAGGCCTAGTCCTGGAGGAATATAATATCTTGGAAGAAACAGGTGAAAATTGGGACATTTGGGTCCAGCCACTCCATACAGAAACTTGTAGCCCTTTCCATGTTCTCAGCTCTGTCCTTTGCAGTAGCTGGTACCTCCAAGTCCTGGACCTCCGAGGGCTATGGACTGACCTGCTCACTGCCTTCACTTCTTTCTGCACCCAGAGAGGCCCTCACCACCTTTTCCCAGTCCTCCAACTGCTGACCTTCCGGGACATTTTCTCATCTGTTCTTCTTTCTTATCTCATTTTCCCAATCCTTGTGGTTTACAATTTTTCTCAGGTCCTTGGAGTATTTTAATGGATCAAATAAGAATTTAAAAGGAAATAACTGAACTTCTAATCCCTCATCTTAAAAACAAAACTTTGTTGCTTCTGAAATGATTTAGATGGAGAACTTTCCTCCAATTCAGTGATCAATTTTTTTTTAAATAGACACAGTTCCCACTTACTAATTATCCATTCTCAAAGAGTTAGAGATCAAGGACAAGAGAAGTTAAGTGGCTTCATTTAATCATTCATCAAATACTTATGAAGCACCTAAAAGGCTCAAAAGCCTACTCAAGGTGCTGCGATACAGCAATAAGCAAGACAGTCCCCACTGGCTCAAAGTTTGCTTTCTAGAGGTGAGCAAAACACTAAACAAATAAATGAAAAGTCAAGAAATTTCACAAAATAACAACCAATGTACAGAGAATCACAACTGGGTAAATGAAGAGTCTAGAAGGCTACTTTAAATGGTGCGACCAGAAGACTTCTCAGGAGTGACATCTGGTCTGAGACCTTAATAACAAGCAAGTGGGTATTGGGGAGAAGAAATTTCCAGGCAGAGGGAATTGTAAGAGCAAAGGGCCGGTGTTGCAAGCCAGGCTGGCCTGTTTAAAACAGAGTTACCCACTGTGCTGGAACTGAAAAAGTCTAAATTCTATGTTGAAAGAGTGTGAAGTGCCCTCAGACACCCAGAGGTTCCTGAGGACAGTGGAATGCTGAGCCTGGGGATTGGGGGAACATCAGTCTGAAGAGACTGATGAAGAAGTCACCTGGTGTGAATGATGTTCCTCAGCCATGGAACCTAATGGTGACTCCGGCAGAAAGAGAGCAGATTAAGAGAAGACAATCAGAGTGTCTTGGGTCATTCCATCAATTAAAGGTTGAGAGAAAGAGTCAAAGCCAGAAAAGAGAACTGAAAAGGAAGACCAAGGGGAAGAGGAAAACCCAGAAGGGACAGAGAGCATTTCAAGAGACAGGGAATGGCAAACAGAGTTGAAGGCTGCTCAGGCTTTGCAGAGATAAGGAAATCACAGGAGTCTGCTGGGCGTGGCCACTGGAGGCAACGGAGAGCTTCACAAGAACAGTCCTAGTCCAGCAGAGGGGCAGCCATCCAGATGACACCAGGAAGGAGTGGAGAGGACCACAGACAACCCATTCAGGATGTCCATTTCCTATGAAAAAGAGCCCAGAACAGAAGTGACAGCTGGAGGTTAACGTGGGGCTATGATAGACACGGGATGGGTTGATTTTGATGTGGGAAACACCGGAGCAGAGTTATTGACTGATACAGAATTGGAACCCAAGTTTCTAAGACCCCAAAGTGAAATCAGCTGAGTTTTACCTCAAAGCCTGACTTCATCTGTATCAGCCTCTCAGCAGCCTCCTGCACGCTGGCTCAGCAGCCCCTCACGGTTTCAAAGTGGGTTCTGCTCCCTCCCCCAGGGCTCCCTGGTATCACTCAGTCCACAGGGCACAGCCATGGTAACCTCCACACAGTACTTCA